ACTCGCACTGTCGCCCACTCCCAAATGTCCGACCTTTCTACGCCGTAAAGGCGCGATCCCATCCGACTTCCCTCAGAGCCATGGCGGCGCTTGGCTCGGGCTTTGACTGCGCGCCAGTCGGGCTGAGATCGAATCGGTCTTGGCCCTCGGAGTATCTCCTGACCGAATCATCTTCGCCATTCCATGTAAACCGGAGTCCCACATTAAATACGTTGCGAGTGTAGGTGTTAACCTAACGATGATCGATTCGAGGGACGAACTCGGAAAGATCCGAAAGTGGCACCCTAAATCTGGAAGACATGAGCAAAGTGCGGTGCACATTGGGGCCAATATACGGCTCTCTTCCTGAGGAAGTGGCGCCGCTCCATCAAGAGGCTCGGATCACCGTCAGCGCGTCTCCCCCATATTGGAAGCGGTGCCACACATTCGCTTGCGTACATAGGCGCCGTTGAGGCCGCCAAGTCGGCTCGGCTCGGCTTTCCCTAAATCCGCGTACTAGACATCGGCGGCGGCTTCACGGCTCGCCAACAGTTTGAAGAAGCGGCTTCGAACATAAGAGCCGCTATGCAAAATTATTTGCGGAAATAATATTTTAGAGAAAAATTACTCAGTTTCGTTGAGTCGGCTTTCTCGTTGGCCGCCAATTCATCGAGAAGCGTGTAAGGGGCGAGAAGAGAGAGTACTGAGAGAGAGTTTCTATAGGTTAATTTTGAAGAATTAATGAGTTGTGTTGAAGCAAAAACAGTTGTGACGTAAAGTATTTAGTTGAATGTTTCGTAAAATTCTAAGTAATTTTAGAAGTGTTGTTAGTTCCAAAGTACTATTAGGATGGGGTTCATTAAACTATGATGAGGCTGAGATGTTGTTTGTCTTAAGAAAATTATCAAAGCGAACATTTAAGGAAATTTATATATACTATAATTTTAGTGTATTAACTTCAATGTTTTTTTTATGTTAAGCAAATGTATATAATTTAATTTATCTATCTATAATCTATATAAGAAGGGAGATAATAGCTTTTTAAAAGCTTTTCTTCTTGTTAGCTTGCGAGCTTCTTTTTTTTCTGGTTTAAATTAATAAAGCATTTTTCCTTCTAATTTATCCCTTTAAAATAATGTTTCTTAAATAGTTTTTCATGTTTTCTTCTAAATATTATTTTGTTAAATACGAGTATATAATAAATACGTTTTTTAACTAATTACCCCACCTTACTCGCTTGTTTTTGTTTTTTTGTAATCTTTTAAAAGGTACAACCGACTAGTTAATTTTTCAACACACTAAAATTGTACGATTTGCCCCTTTTAACTTGAATAACATTTTTAAATAGTTGTGATATAATCGTCTGATAAGATCTTTACATTATTGTTAAATGCTACTAAGTATAAAACAAATTATATGTGTATTCAATACAAGTCATAAGATATCATAGAAAGATCACACAGTATTAATTATTTTTAACTGATTTAATTATTTTAACTTTCCGATAATATCCTTGAATTACATTTTGTCTTATATGTTTTAATTTGATAATTATTTATGAAGAGTTCTAGCCATAGTTTAGGAAGAAGTTTCAAGACTTTTAAAAATAAGGAGAATATGAAAAACATATCCAAACAAAAGAGCATATGTTTTGCACGCATGCAAAAATATTTCCAAAATAAACCATCACGCAACTGGAATTAACTCTTGTGTCCCTTTTCATGTCCTTACAATACGTCAATTAAAATGTCATGTCAATTAAAAGATTCTTATCATGTCAATTAAAAAATCATGACGTGACATGTTACTATTGAAGGATACCGAAGGAGATAGAAAAAAGGGGCATATGAACTCATTCCCACGCAGCTACAACTACACGCGCATTTTTTGCTGTAATGCGTACGCAGTTTTCAATTTTAATTTCAGCATGAACTAATAAGGTTTTCTTTTTGCATGGGACCTCCCTGAACTTTGATGGTGGGGCGCACAGCCCGTTTGCACCTCCCTCCAGCATCGGTGTCTCAACCATCCACCACAAAATCTGGTGACCTCGAGGTCTCAGTGATGGCAACTTCAACAGATAGCTTCAAAATCTCTTCATGTGACTCGGTGGTGTTCATACAACATCGTTTAAAATCACCATGTTTTTGTCTTTTTTTTTCCTTATATCAGATATCGGATTCAATAGACTCTTAGAATTTTGATTTTGATTATGTTTGTGTGTGTGTGTGAAATTGATTCTTGTAATTGTTTGTTTGGGGTGGTTGTCTTTGGTTTCTTTGTTAAGCTTCGAGTATATGTGAGAGAACACAGCTTGGCGTTTTGTGTTTCTGGGTCAATGGAAAACTAATATAAATATTATATATAGTATCAGGTAGCAGATTCAACACTAGAATCCCTTTTGTTACCTATTTGCATGAGATAGATTTTGATTAAATTTCAAGGAGAAAGATAATTTTTATAAATTTCCTAATGTTGCCCTTATGAATTGCCTATGTGTGTCGCACATGTCAATTTCTATTAAATTGTTGACGGAGTTACTGAAAAGGCCACAAATTAGGATTTTAATACTGTCAAGAATTTTTTATGAGACCTATTGCCCAGAATTTTAATTCAAGAACTTATACTAAGTTGCTAAACACGTAAAATTTAAGGAGTGTCTTGTAAAAAAAAAAAGTTAACTAATAAATTTACCTCGCTCGTTTCACTGATTCGAGTTTAAAATTTAAATTTTACTACAGTAAAAAGCTCTCACAAATAATCACATCTAATTTTTTTACTATAGTAAAAACTTTCATATATAATCACATATTAACTCAAATTTTAAACTCAAATCAACAAAATAAACTAGACATAAGCCTCACTTTCAATAATGCACGCCGATTATATTTGATAAATTATAGTAATGACAGTTCAGTCTTTGAAAAGAACTGTAGCCCTGTTTATTTCGCCGATTCGAGTTTAGAATTTAAATTTTGTTACAGTAAAAAATTCTCAGAAACAATCACATTTAATTTTTTTACTACAATAAAAAACTCTCACATAAAATTATATCTCAACTCAAATTATAAACTCAAATCAACGAAATAAACGGATCCTGTGTTTCACTCATTGCAAAACACAGTGTTTCGGGTGTAGCATTCAGGAGCTTTTCTCTATCTTCTCTCTCAGCAAAATGATAAAAAATGACAGCATGGAATCGTATTATTGTTTTTCTTTTTACGGCTTTTTGATCTGTACCTTGCACGGACTATTCTGGCACAAGCTAGATATTTTATTGACAGCTGTAACTTTCTTCAGGGCATCAGACCCACTAAGTAAATAACGACAAAGAGCATAGTGCATACCATGTTTTGCATTTCCTTGCTTGGGTTAGTTGGAATGTTAATTCCAAAGGAGAGTGACTGGCTATTGCTCGTACAGAACCATCAACAGTTTTGCGCATTTTTTGCTGCAATTTGTTCTAATTTTTATAAAAACTCATGCACCACAATTTTGTTGATATTTATAAGACCCTTTAATTGTTGATTTAAATTTAAATATAATTTTATATAAATTTTTTATTATAATAAAAAAATTAAATATAATAATTTTTAAAAAATTTTTAACATAATAAAATTTAAATTTTAAACTAAAATCAGTAAAATGAGCAGATCAAAAATTTCTCATTGTCCTTAGCAATTATAAAACATTTATTAAAAGTGCCGGCTCCAAATCAAATCAAACCCACCCTACTTTTTGGTTGTATATCTATTATGGGTTTAATAATTATAAGAATTTAAATTAGAGTTCAAATCAAAATTTTTAATTATAATTTTTAAAATTTAAATTTTTTTTTTAGAGAAAAACACTAATCATCGTACCTTTGCCGACGTGATTTTCATTAATTGTTAGTGTGGCTACGTTGATCTTTCTTTTAACTTCATTCGATTACCGTGCACGTGAACTCTTCCTACAAATATCAAAAATAGTAATAAATAGTGTGTTGGAAATTAATTCAAAAAAGTGATAAACTCACAAAATGATACTTGAATTTTATTGAAATATTGTTCTAAATAAAGAGAGCACACTCTTACAACTCTCAAATATTTTTCCTCGGCAAACACTCTCACACACAGACAAAGCTATACATGCTTTGTTCATCACCCTCTAGAAGCTTTTTGCTTCTTTCTTCACCGAGAATTTCTTCATGGGTAGTTATAGTACAGCCAAGAGCATCTACCATGTTATAATTAATATGCCAATTATGAATTTAGAATTTGAGTGTAAAAATATTATCTAATATAATGCTATTTATTGTGTTAAATTTGTCATATTCTATATTTTGTGACAAATTTTTCACCAAGTATAGCATATAATAAATTTGATATTTGATTGTTATTGGTTGAAATATTTACATTTTTATGTAATCATTAGAACTTTTGTATTTTCAAACTATTTTAAAAATAAAAGTTTACTTTTACAACTTTAAAGCTTATAATTATGAAAAAAGTAAAATTAACATATCAAATAGCATTATCAATTGAACACAACTAAAAATAATATATTATATCATACTTTTAATGTTAAATATACAATTAATATTTACATTTGATCTTATACCAAACAATATTTTAATTAAGTAAATTCACGAACCACACAATAGACAAAGCTTGGTTGCCACATACGCCACGTAGTCAAAAAACTTATTTCTCATCATTTCCCGTCACGTGAATGCAATGTATATAGTTTAAAATAATATAAGTTACCGTTCATTTTATAGATTTAAGTTTTCAATTCAAGCTAAAATGTAATATTTTTTGAGAGTTTTTAACTGTAAAAATTTAAAACTGAAAACTCAAATCGCGAAATGAACGAGACCTAAAGTTTCTATCAACTTGGGCCGTGTTGGGTCGTAAAACAGGTTTATAATTCAACAAAGTGCTAAATTATAATTAGAATATTTTCAAGATCTCCTTATAAATACTCACCCATCATTTATAGCTACATATATATTTTTCCACCTGTTGATACCAAGCGGCATGGCCAGCCCACCAGTCTTATTCTCTGCCGTGGGGTTGAGCCCCAAGGACCGCCAGGCTATTATTGTTGAAGCACCCACTGTTAGAAACAAAGTTACGCATTTACTCAAAGATGGCTTAACTGGTTTCATGCAGTCCCTAATTCTCAACCACCATCACACTAAAGAACCATTTTACGTGCTTGATTTGGGTGTCGTCGACAACCTTATGGACAACTGGACCCGGTTTCTTCCCATGATTCGACCTTTCTACGCCGTCAAATGCAATTCCGACCCGGCCTTACTCGCTGCCATGGCCACACTTGACATGGGTTTCGACTGCGCCAGCCAGGCCGAAATCGAATCCATTTTGGCCCTTGGAGTTTCACCCGGTCTGATCATATTCGCCAACCCTTGTAAACTCGATTCTCATATTAGATACGCAGCCAGTGTGCGCGTTAACCTAACGACATTTGATTCCGGAACAGAAGTCGAAAAGATCCGAGAATTTCACCCCAAATGTTCTCTTCTTATCCGGATCAAACCTCCGGATGACGGCGGATCAATGTGGCCGTTGGATTCCAAGTTCGGCGCGCTACCGGAGGAAGTTGAACCGCTACTTCAAGCGGCTAAGGCGGCTCAGCTCCCCGTGATCGGCGTGTCATTCCATATCGGAAGCCGAGCCGCCTGCTCGCGTGCCTACGCTGTCGCCATTGAGGCCGCCAAGAAAGTGTTCGAGGCTGCAGCTCAGCTCGGGATGCCGCCGATGAGAGTATTGGACATCGGCGGCGGCTTCACGGCTGGAATACAATTTGAAGAAGCGGCTTCAACCATAAGAAACGCTCTTAAGACCTATTTCCCCCACACAACAGGGATG